TAAGTCATTGTTGCTGAACCTTTCTTAAAAGAACAAGGAGCATGTGTGTATGGGGGCAGGGGGTCCACAGAGACCTATGAAACCAGTCTTCTCTATAGAAGAATCACCTCTGAGGATTCTTACCTTTGGGGGGGGATAGCGGGGGGCGGGGGAGGGGGGGCTCTGGGAAACATTGCTCACTGTCCCTCAGTGCCCTTGACCTGGGCTATTTGAGTTTCTCCGTCTGTGTGGACTTCAGCACCCCTACTCCACTGCTAGTCTCAAGGTGTCTGAACTCTCTCCCTGCAGGGCCCTCTCTCTGCCTCCCCTCTTTTTCCACCCAGTGCAGATATGACGCAGGGTAGTGAGCCAGCACGGCTTCTGGACTGACACAGGCGGCCCTCAGCAAATGGCGCTACTGACTCAGGCCCCATCCGTGAGAGGATGTCCCTGCCAAGGATGTCCGCAGTCTTACCCACATGTACTCAGCAGATGGCACCAGGCTGCTGTAGCCCCCACTCCCCTTCGCCCCCATCCTCAACCCGCCGGGGTGCGTGCTCACCTAGCAGGGGCAGGAAAGGGACACCCTTCAAGATGCGCACCATCTCCTTGACTTTTGGCTCCTCACTGACCAGCAGAAAGTTGTGCCCCACAAAGAGGGGCAGCAGGTTCTGGTACTTGGAATCTGCTAGGAAGGGCTTCAGAACCTGGAACGGCAGGAAAGAGGGCTCACTGGGGACCAGTGGCCTGGTCACAGGCCAGGTCGTGCCGAGGGTGCAAGCCGACGGTCTCCTCGGCCCCTAACTGCAGTTTAGGCGCCAGACTGGAGGAAGGTAGCTTGTGGAGTGGGGAGGGACGGCGGGGTCTGATTGGCAGGGGGCAGGGGAATCCGGGCACCCACACCAGAGGGCTGCTGCCTACCTGGTTGGGGAAGATCTTCATCAAGATCTTGTGTTTCCGCAGCTGGTGCCGCATGAGAAGCTTGTCCTCGGCACTCAGAGCCACATTCTGACAGACAGCTATCATTCGGTTGTCTCGGAAAACTGCATCTATCTCCCGACGGAGGAGCCGGATAAGGCCTGTGTCCTGAAGTCAGGAAGGGATGACCAAGGGGACATAAGCTGCCCTTCTCTCCTTGTACCCCTTATTCCCTTAGGGACAGGTGCTGGGGCTCTCAGTGACGCCCAAACATGGGAAAGATCTGTGTACAAGCGGGTGGGTTGGGGCCCCGCCTCCCAAGTCGAGTTCCGTCTCCCACCCCACCCTTTCATTTTCATCAGCTAACGACGGTCTTTACAGCAGTGTTTTCAAACCTGAGAACGCTCATCCCCTTGAGCTGGCCACCCATCTGACCCAGTCAACATCTGACAATAATGTGGTCAAAATTACTTTATCCCTCTGACACTGTGCTCGTGTTGAGGGATTTTACCAATTATAAAGACAAGATCGCTCTTTGGCAGCATTAATTCAGAACTGAGGCATTTGCACAGGACAAGACTTCATTTTCTGAAGACCGTGTTTCTCAAAGTTGACAGCTTGTGGACCTGACAATAAGTGTGGAGTTACAAATTCTCCACTGGCCCTTCTGTTCTTTTTTTAAGGACAAAAACTCTCTTATCATTTCTCTAGGAAAACATGGAAACTTCAAGCCCTTTCAAGACAGGAGACACGGGGCGCCCGGGTGGCTCAGTTGGTTCAGTGTCCGACTCCTGATTTCGGCTCAGGTCATGATCTCATGGTTCGTGAGTTCAAGCCCCACATTGGGCTCTGTGCTGACAGCACTCCACCTGCTTGGGATTCTCTCTGCCTCTCTCTGTCCCTCTCCCACTTGCGTGCGCACGCACGTGCTCTTTCAAAATAAATAAATCGGGAAAAAAGCGCAGACAAATACGTTCGCGTGGAAGCTTTGGCGGAGTCACGAATGCCGGTCCATTGAGTTTGGGAAGAACCCGGCATTAGGGCTCATAAGGGCTGTGACTGGCTCCGGGAATACCCAAACAGGCCTATTTCATTCTGTATTAACCCTCTCTGCCCTCGTTGCCATGCTCTGCAATGCTCTTATATAAACATTTTGAAATAAATAAAAAGCGTTGAAAAAAAATAAAAAAAAAAAAGTTAAAAAAAAAAAAAATAAATAAATCAACTTAAAAAAAAAAAGATGGGGCCATATATCCTCCCCTCCCACCTGCTTGGACAGCTTTTCATACACACATTTTTGGAGGCCAAATAAGGGAGTAAATCCAGGAGGCCTGTCCGATCCACGGAGCCCCAAACACCAAGCAGAACCAAGTGCACATTTCATGTTAAATGGACCATACGGTCAAGGGAAATGACATAGGCTGTGTCTGGGGCTTTTCACTAATGCTAAGCCAATATCACACGCTTTTTTTCAGGACAGTCTCTCCTCTGCCCTCACAATACTTTAGGAGACCTACTGTTGAGCGCCATTGGTTGAGCAGCAAGGGCAGGGGATATATGGTAATTGCATCACATGGCTTCCGCGACTTCTCAAGAGAGTATTCATCATGACGACTGATGGCTGGGCCAACAAACCATATATGATCCTACAGGGGCGTCTGGGTGAGGCGGCGACACCTGGAGAAAGCGACATGGTGGTACCTCTGGGAGTCCTTAATTCGTGCTGAATGGAGAAAAAGCTCACCTCTGGGCAAGCCAACCACAGCTCTGAAACAACACACAGAGGAACAAGGAATTGTCTGCTAGGAATCCTAAACTCCCCAAACTTCTCTGCCAGGCTGACCTTGGGTCTGGCTTTGCTTGATCAACATGGAGGCTCCCATTTCGCCAGCTCTTCTTCATGCACAGAGATGAGGGAAAAGATGAGAACAAAGGAAAAGTATTTTTGACTACATTAAAAAAAAAGGGGGGGGGGTGGTGGTGAGGGTTGAGCAATTTTTTTTTTCTAAAATGGCCAAAGAGTAAATATTTTAAGTTCGAGAACCATACGGTCTGTCGCCACTATTCAACCATGCCACTGTTATCACGAAAGCAATCATAGCCAATACGAAACAAGCAGATGTGGCTGTATTCCAATAAAAGTTTATTTCTAAAACATGGTGACCAGTCCTGCCACAACATGCCCACCCCTGGCCTAAGCCAGTGGTTCTCAAGGTGCATTGCTCCCACCCAGCCAGCAGCATCAGTATCATCTGGGAACGTGTTAGAAATACAAGTTCTCAGGGCCTGTCCTAGACCCACTGAAGCAGGAGCTCTGGAAGGGGGCCCAGCAAACAGTGTCCTAATAAGACCTGCAGGGGTGACAGATGCATGCTGATGTCGCAAAACCACTGCTCTCAGCACTGCTCTGAAGCCTTCTCCCATGATTTGAAGCAGGAGGGAAAAGAAGTTATACAGCGCTCACGGCTCCCCCAAACAGGCCTCCCTTCCCTCTCTTCTTGTTTGCAGCCATCGGTGAAGAGTAGCCCTCGGAAGACAAGGGAGCCACTTGAAAGCCCTAAGCCCAAGTGACCCCTTCATCTTGGACAAAAGGACCCAGGCTAGAGCCTCCCACCTGCAGCCTTTCCCAAGACTGAGATGGAATCTCAGGGAAAATTCAGCTAGAAGGTGGTTCTAACAGGGAGCATGCAGGTCTGCTGGGGTGAGAGGTTTTATTGCCAGCAGCCACAAAACCTAAGAACACAGGGCTCTGGATCAGATGGAACCAGATTTTAATCTCTCTTCTGCCACTTACTAGCTGTGACCTTGACCAGTCACTCGACTGGTCTAAACTTGAACTTCTTCACCTGTAAAGAGGCCATGGTAATGACTTCTTCATGACAAGCTTTAAGATTTAAATGAGATAATACATGTAAATCATTTATCACTGTGCCTGGCCTGTATCATGTGCTCAAAACCATTCATTAAACAAACATCTATTTCATGCCTACTAACGCCCACACCACGCCACCTGCTGGCGATGGTGAATGAGCATGGTTCTGCCCTTAGGGAGTTTGAAGTCTAACACAGGAGACAGACACATAATAAACAAATGCAAAATTACATGGTGGGTAAAGGGGGTCAATAAACAGGGTGCAAAATACAGATTTCTGCTTTGCAGAAGGTGGCCAGGGCAGGCCTGAGAAGATGACATTTAAGCTGAGACCGTAAAAAGGTGGCATAGCGCCAAGGTCGGGACGGGCAGTGGTTCCAGCTGGAGCTGGAAACTGGAGGCGAGCAAGAGCCAGGTGGTAGACTATAGAAACCCAGAAAAGAAGGAGTACTCGGGCATAGGGAAGAAATACAGCAGTTGTCGCTGACGTTGTTGCTGCGCTGCTGTTATCACTAGTATCTGGAGTCACAGGGAATTAGCTGGAGGAAGGAGGCCAGCGATCTGGCTGGTGTCTGGGGTCATCGAGAGCTGTCTGGAGTAAGAGATTACGGAAGGGGGTCAGTGGTGGAGGAGGGGAGAGGAGAACTAAGAGCACCGGCCGGAACGCGCCGTGAGGACCTGGGCCGCTCCTTACCCGCCTGGGGCAGGAGACCCCCTCGCAACTTCCCAGCCAGGGTCGCAGCCATCTCCACCGGAAGAGCAGCCAGGAGCCGGGCGAGACAGAAGGAGCGAAGGATTGTGGGAAGCCCTGGGGCCGGAAGCAGCCGCCGGATCCGCCGGCTGGAGCAGTAATCCGCATGCGCGCTAAGCCCAGGAACGCCTAGTCCGCGCTCCCTGACGCCCCAACTGGCGTCCAGTCTCCTAGCAACGACGGTTAGCCTCTGCCGCACAGCTCTTTTCTCGGGATCCTCACCCTCCACTCTCTGCCCACAGTCCCCCACTGGGGACTAGCGAAGCCCCTCTGCACCCCTCAAACTCCAGACCCGTCTCCTCGATTTACTTTTGTCTTCTACCCCGCCTCATTAATTTGCTCTGAATCAACACTTTCCCTTGTCCCTCCAGTCTCTGAAATTCTCTCTTCTCATACCATCCTGGGTTCCGCCATCCCGGGGACTAAGTTGCTCTGCTTCCTTTCGTGCTAATCCCGCGCCAGGCCAGTAGCCTTTAGATCATGCCCGGAGGTGAGTAGGGGATGGAGAGGTGGGTAGAACAGTTGGATAACAGTAGGGTCAGGCTTCCAAGAATAAGGGAATCGTTCTCGTCTTTTCACAGGTAATTTTGCCCAGAGTCCAGAGGAAGGAGGCGTGTGCATCACTGAAACCCTTATCACTAAGCGGAACTTGGCCTTCCCTGAGGATGAGGATCTGTCAGAGAAGATGTGAGTGCCGGCGGGAGGAGAGGGGTGCTGGACAATTGAAACACACAGAATGACCAGTCCCCTGAGTTGTACTGTTTCTTCAGCTCATCTTTGTCCCTCTCTTTACTTACTCCACGCATCCAGTCAGTGGTAATGTCCAATCGACTTTGCCTCCTTAAACAGTATTCTATTTCTTTTTTTTTTTTTTTTTTTTTTTTTTTTTTTTTTTTTTTTTTTTTTACCATGCCCGCTCAACTGCCTTGAATAAGGCTCTTAAGTAAGCCATCGCCTCTCAATAAACTCTTCATCAGTTTCCCTGCCCCCAGTCCAGGCTCCCCATATGGTTGCCAAAGTGATCCTTTTAAATGACAGATCTGATCAGGCACTCCCTGGTAGAACCTTCCTTGGGTCCCTAGTACTTCCAGGATAAAATCCGAATACCCTAGCGTGAGTTGACTGTTGCTGCCTTTTTCGCCATTCTCCACAATTCCTCCAAGACCCTCTGTTCTCACACCTTAGCACCTTTTCAGATGGTGCTGAGCACCTGGGAGCTTGTTAGTAATGAAGACTCTCAGGCCCACCTCAGACCTACTGAATCAGAATCTGCATTTTAACAAGACCCCCAAGGGATTCGTGGGCAACTAAAGTTCTCCTCATCCCCCTCTCACCTTCCTGGCCAACTCCTATTTGTACGTCACCTCCTCCAGGAAGCATTCCCTGCTCCCCTATTGAGGATTCAGTGCACAGTCCATGTACCCCCTTAGTCCCTTCATGTGTCTGTCACCCGCTTGTCCTAGATGTTTGGCCTGCTTCCCTAATAGTGATGGGCAGGGACTCTCATTGGTCTCCAGTGGGCACTCAGTAAATATTGTGGAATTAATGAATGAGTGGATGAATCAAGTGATTTTCCTTCCATGGACCACTCGAAAGGGAAGTGAGGAAGGATATTCCTGCAAAGATTGTCTCATCCCTGTGCCAGTGCCCGCTTCCACCATCTGAGCTGGCCCGGGGAAGCCTTCCCTGGCCTCTGAGTCTCTCTGGGAACCATAAGCTGTTCAACCATTTCCCAATCCAAGGGTCCTATTCCTCTCACCCTCTGATTCTTCCCGGTCCTACTGATCGAGATCCAGGTCTCCAGGTTGACCTGATTTCATGATCTGGACACTGCCTCATGAGTCAAGAAGTCCTGACATCTCAGCCAAGCCACTTAGTTCGAAAACCCTTTTCTACCCCCTCCCATCTTCCCTGCCAAGGGACCACAGAAGTGGGATCTGTTACACCACCTGCTAACTGTTCCCCCAGGTTTCACACTCTTGCTGAACTGCAGACTGTCCGCCTGGACCGAGAGGGGATTACTGCTATCAGCAACCTCGAGGGCCTCCAGAATCTTCACAGCCTCTATCTGCAAGCGGTACCTTCTTGCCTCCTGCTCTCCCTCCCCCCTTGCCCTCTGTGGACCAAGTCTGTTTAATGTGAAAGCAACCAGTCAGGCCATCTTGCCCATTCCCTGGTGTTCAGGTAGGCAGACCTTCATTGAAACTGTTCCAGAGGGGGCACCTGGCTGGCTCAGTCAGTGGAGCATGTGACTCTTGATCTCAGGGTTGTAAGTTCGAGGCCCACGTTGAGGGTAGGGATCGCTTAAAAATAAAATCTTTTTAAAAAAAGAAAATGTTGGGGCACCTGGGTGGCTCAGTCGGTTAAGCGTCCGACTTCAGCTCAGGTCACGATCTCGCAGTCCGTGGGTTCGAGCCCCGCATCAGGCTCTGTGCTGACGGCTCAGAGCCTGGAGCCTGCTTCCAATTCTGTGTCTCCCTCTCTCTCTGCCCCTACCCTGTTCATGCTCTGTCTCTCTCTGTCTCAAAAATAAATAAACGTTAAAAAAAAAAAAAAGAGAAAGAAAAGAAAATGTTCCCAGATGAATCAGGAACTCTCTTGAAAGACCAATCCTCCCAAAAGATCTCCTGAGCATGCTCCTGAATCACTGTTTGTTTTTCTTGTGTATGTCAGACACTTCCCTTGGTTTAGAAGTTCTTTTTGGTGTCTACTCTAAATCTCCCGTGTTCTATAGCTCGAGCGCATTTCCTGTTTTGAGGAAATGAAAGAGGGAACCAGAAGATTCCTCTGCATCCTTTAGAACCCTGAAGGCTGTCTGGTGGTAGTGGGTGGTTGGTTGATTGGATATACATATTCAACTCCTCCAGGTTGAATATATCCAGTGCCCTTAACCTTTCTTCACAGAAACCTTCGAAATCAAAGTAATATATGTTCATTGTTCCCTCTGTGTACATAAACCACCACCAAGGCTTTTCCTATTTCCCCGTGGCCCCTTGGTTTCCTTCTTGATTTCCAGGTCACTCTTTGGTTGTGGGGTGAGCAGGGTATACTTTAATGAAGTTTATCTAGCCCCTAAGTTTACACCCCTAACCATCCACCCAGAGAAAGTAAATCATTTCGAGGTAGTGACAACTCCAGTTCCGGGAGTGGGGTGATTATTCCCAGGGTGCCAGCCCTCCAGCTGCAAGAGCAGACATGGTCTGCTTAGTTTCCCCAACTCATTTGCTTTCTGCAGAATAAGATCCAGCGAATTGAGAACCTGGCCTGCATCCCCTCCTTGCGGTACGTGGGGTCAGGGCTCAGGCCCGTGAGGAGGGGGTCGGGAGGGAAACACGGGAACACCCCAGAGAACTGACCGGCTCAGACATCTCCAAGCCCAACGTCTGGTCAGCTCAGGACCCCGCAAGCCTCACTCTGCTTCTCTCACCCCAGAAGACCATGTGTCCCCATCCATTGTGTGGCTGCTCAGCCAGGGGCCCCGAGTGCCTGCTGCCTTCCTCCCTTCCTTTGGCGGTTCTATGACTCAGCTCTGTCTCTGCACCCCTCCCTTCCCCTGCAGCTTCCTGTCTCTGGCAGGAAACCAAATCAGGCAGGTGGAAAACCTCCATGACCTCCCACATCTCCAGTTTCTGGACCTTTCAGAGAACCTGATAGAAACACTGAAGCTGGGTAGGAATATCCTTGCCCCAGCTCACGGGCTAAGACTTGGGCAGGACCCTCCCTCCCTCCCCTCTGCCACCACCTCCCTATGCTTGTATTGGTGGCAAAGCCTCTGCGGGTCCTGGGAGGTGGGAAAGAGGCAGTGGCTTTGGGCCAGAAGGTGGGTATGGGACCCTCACTGCCCTCTCTTTGGTGTGTGCAGATGAATTCCCGCAGAGCCTTCTCATCCTCAACCTGAGTGGAAACAGCTGCACCAACCGGGATGGGTACAGGTGAGGATGCATTGACGGTGGGAAGAAATGGGGTGATGGCTGAGCTCCTCGTATTCTTAACTCCACACGGACTCCCTCTCGGCCTGCAAACTTGGGGTCACCATCCCTGGCACCTTCTCGTCTCTCACCCCAGCTCAAGTGGGCCGCTTTTTCTCTTCCACCCCGCCCCCCCACTCCCCAGAGGTCCACATGGAGCCAGCCCTTAGCTCTTTGGGGCTGAGCGCAGGCCCGTCTCCCAGCTTGTGAACACCACCCCTCTGGGTGCGGTTCCTATGGCTTGTGCCTGCACGCCCTCCCAGGCCCCCCACCCGGGGCTGCCCTCCTGGGTAGCCTCTGCCCTTTCTGCCCTGCAGGGAGCTAGTGACAGAAGCCCTGCCGCTGCTCCTGGACCTGGACAAGCAGCCTGTGTTAGAGCGCTGGGCCTCGGACGAGGAGGATAAAGACTCAAGCGACGAGGACGGGGAGTTCCCAGAGCTGAGTGGTCCGTTCTGCACAGAGCGAGGTGGCCGGGCTTTCCTTTTTTTTTTTT